AGCAAGTCTCCACTCCTATCTTATTGTGATTGACAGCAAGTCTCCACTCCTATCTTATTTTCTCCTTCAAAACCTCTGGCACGCACAAGGCACACATCAAATGCACAGACGGGAAAACTGAAGCAACAGAAGGTAAACATTTGTCTACATCTCAGAATGAGTTCATTGTAGATTTGACCCAGGAACTTAAGGTCCTGATTCCCAGCGTGGAAATCTGTCCCTGAGCCAGCAAGCTCTCTTCTTCCTAGGCTTGTATACAGTGATGGTGAGAGATCTCATAGGCAAACGGGGCACACCTTTTGCACCCCTCCTCCCTAGGCCGCTCCTTATCAGACAGATATGAAGGGCAGTTCCCAAACTCTGCCAGAAGGAGTCAGCACTTCCTAGTCAGGCTGGGTTCCCTCCTGGCTGTGGTCATCCCTTTGGGGTAACCCTGAAGAATAAACGCTGGAAAGGTTTATTTTCCCCCAACAATCCAGACAGCAGGGGCCCCACCCTAGAGCTCTCTAATGTTGGGTGGGTGTGGCAGGGCAGTCAGGTAGTAGAGATGATGGTGACCTCCTCCTTGGCCTGTGAACAGTGGTTCCTGGAAGTTCAGCCACTTAACAGAGATATTTGAAAAACAGAGCTTGAAAAAAGCCCAAACAAAAATTCATGAACTCCAGCCAGCATACTCACTCTCAGGTGGGTTGGGCAGGTGTGAGCAAGGATCAGGCCTTCGGACACCGGGAGGTATTGCCCTGACATCAGGAACTACTTCACACAGACCAGGAGCCATCCCAATGTCCCCTCCAAAGGGACTCCCACTATGCTCTTCTCCAATGTTGGGCTGTGAGCTCCCTAAGGATTTTTCCAACACCTCTCAGTACCTCTGTGCCGTCCCTCAGGAGAATTATTCCAGGATATAGAGTCAGGTAGAACAATCTCCCCAGATAACCTGGAATGCTCTCTCCAGCCTAAGGACAGAGCATGTTTTGTTTTTTTGTTTTTTTGTTTTTTCTTTCTGCCTTGGCTCCCAGGAGGCTTCCAGTCACATCTCTTGCTGTATGGACCCTTACAGACCATATATTTGCTGCCTCCAACTTTCTTCAATCCTTGTTTATAATTTTTTTGTTGTCTTAATGAGTGCATCATCTCAGCTCCATGTTGGAAACAGGTGTCAGGCAAATCAACAATTAAGTTTCACTCAGGAAGGAGAGGTCACAAGTGCAATGTGGCTAGCATTTTGGGGCTGTGGGAAATCCCCTTTTGATCACTCCTCTTTGTCCCCAAGTCCCCTGAGAGCAGAACAAGCCGCTTCTCTTTCTTCTCCTCCCTGAAACAGGAGGAACTTGAAGAGCTCCTGGGGCCCTCCTTCCTCTCTTGCCCTCAGACTCAGCTCCCCTGGCAAATTCTCCTAAGTGAGAAGAAGGAAGAAACAGTATTTATTTGGGTACAGTGCTGTGGGTGGAGGCCTTTCTTTATCTCCTTTCTAGGGAGGAGAGGTACTGGAGAAATCAGTTTCTGGAATTTAACAATCAGGAATTCAGTCATAGGCAACTGAAGTATTGCTAAATTAGACTTTCTAAATCATCCAAGCAGCTCTGAGCAGACCCAGAGTCTAGAGGCTTTAGGGAGATGCAGGAACAGGAGGTAGGCAGTGGAGAATAGTGGCTAAGAGTGTGGTTTGACAGTCATGTGGACCTGGGTTTGAATCCCAACTCTGCCACTTATTGGTCGTCTGACCCTTGACAAACCACTTTGTCTCTCAGAGCCTCATTTTCCATCTATGAAATGGGGAGAATAACAGCACCTGCTTCTCCGGTTGTGAAGAAGCCAAGAGACAGTGCCCCTATGGAGTACACTGAGTGTGCCATGCACATGGACTCAGGAATCAGCAGGGCTGAGCTGACAGTAGTAGTGGCTCATGGAAGAGGAAGAGAAAGTGTGTGTGACCCCAGAGTTCCTCGCTGACAGTGACATGGCTCTGGGCAGTGGCCCTGTTCGTTTTCTCTCCTCTGAGAAAGGATTGCTGACTTCACACAGCTCTCTGTCCTCAGCGGCAGGAATTCCATCAGATCTCGAGGAGCCGTTTAATAACCACAACACTTCTAGCCATTAACAAAGATAAAGAGAGCGCTGGAAAATTGACTTATGCCTAAGCACAGTAAGTACGAACCCAACTAAAAATCATAACACATGCTCCCAAACCCAGTTTGATGACTATGACACGCTCCCACCCCCATCCTTCGCTGGCTCCCCCACCCACCAGCTGCCACCAGCCCCTTCTGCCATGGCCATGCTGGTCTCCTTTTCTCTGCCTCCTACTGTCAAGCCTTTTTCACACTAGAGCGTCCCTACCTTGAACGGTCTCCATTCATATCTCTCCTGACCTACCACCCAGTAAAATAAATGCCGCTTCTATTCTAGGAGCTGCTGGGGAAGTCCCTGGTTGACATCTAGGGCAGTGTTACTCTAAGTGTGATCGGTGATCTGCACCTGCATTGAATTACCCCCCAGGCTTGCTGATGCAAATGCCTGGGCCCTCCCCACGACCTAGTGAGTCAGAATCTCCATGGGAGGGGCCAAGAATCTGCATTTTTAGCAAGCTCACCAGGTGTGGCTGATGCACCCGAAGCATGAGAATCCATGATTTCTCTTGAGTCCCTTGCTGCATGCCAGAGTCCAGCTAGGACTAGACCTGGAAAATTCACAAGATAATGTAATTGAAATATCGTAATCTCTCCAAGTAGCCCCAGCAAAACTACTCAGGGGATCTGGATTCTAGTCTTGGTCCTATACCAATAAGCTGTGTTGCCTCAAACAAGTCATGTCTCTTCTCTGGGCCTGTTTTCTCACTTATAAAAGCAGAGACTTGGAGGTCTCTTGGGCCATCCTTCTCTAACACGCTTGGAATTTCACTCAGGATAGGCACCCTTGTAGGATCGTCATGGTGGGAAAAGAGAACAGGGAGTCTACAGGGTTGAGCCCAGATGTCCAACCACTGCCTAAGAGGGTAGTTAACAGTTGCTGTTGCCAGGTTCGGTGGTTCATGCCTGTAATCCCAACATTTTGGGAGGCTGAGGTAGGCAGATTGCTTGAGCCCAGCAGTTTGAAACTAGCCTGGGCAACATGGTGAAACCCTATCGCTACAAAAAAATTAGCCAGATGTGGTGGCACATGTCTGTAGTCCCAGCTACTAGGGAGGCTGAGGCAGGAGGATGGCTTGGGTCCAGGAAATAGAGGCCATAGCAAGCTGAGATCGTGCGCCACTGCCCTCCATCCTGGGTGACAGAGTGAGAGCCTGTCTCGAATAAACAAACAAAGAAAAGCAAACAAGGTTAGTATCCAAGTGCCCTGACCTAGTAAGGCATTATGAGGAGTGAACCCAGTGTCTAGGCTGTGGCAGAGTCAGGCAGGGGCAGCCTGGAGTTGATCCCTGGGGATAGGTATGATACAGGGAGTAGGTCTGAGTGGCAGTGGTCCAGCCCGGTGGACTGGCTCAGAATCAGGCTCTAGGGCCCACAGAGATATCAGAGAGCAAATGGGAACACCCGGGCTTGGGTGAACAACTGCAACTCGAGGGAAGGGGGTGTCCCTGGCTGGGTATCTGCATTGCACAACTCCAGGGGGTGCTATCCTATAGGATACAATGTGGACGCCCTCTCTAGAGTTGTGCCACGTAGAACAACAAGCTAGGACTAGGCACCAGGGGTACCCCCAAGCATCCTGGATCCTGAACTTAGGGCAACAGAACCAGTCCAAGCCCATTCACTGCTTTGACCATCTGGGACATAGATAGCAGTTGCAGAAAAGGAGGTTTCCCTACCCCTCCTGGTTGGAAACTGGAGGCCTGAGCTTGGTCCAGGGATGACCACAGGAGGTGGGGGTGGGGTGCAGACAGCAACAGGTTCAGCAGGAACTTTCCTCAGACCTGCAATCTGCTCCCAGGAATTGCAGGCGGCCCCCTCACTTTGCCCTCTGGGTCCAGGCTGCCCAGCCCCTCCCTGTTGACTCAGGAGCACTGCCAACAAAAGGGAAGGGCCCAGAGAAGGTTCCGGGCCATTCAAAGGACTGGCCAACCGGTCCCAGAAGACTGGCATTGTTTTGCTAGAATAAACGGTTGAGAAACAACTTAAGAACTCCTGAAATTTGGAGGGCTGCTGTCCAGATTGCAAAAACAAACAAGATTTGGTGACCTGCAGCACACCAAGTGCTTCCACCAGCAATTATCTTAACCCTGAAACAACCCTGGGAGGCGATTCATATTCTTTTTTGTTTTTTGAGACGGAAGTCTTGCTCTGTCACCCAGGCTGGAGTGCGGTGGCGCGATCCCGGCTCACTGCAACCCCCGCCTACTGGGTTCAAGCCCTTCTCCTGCCTCAGCCTCCTGAGTAGCTGGGACTACTGGTGCACACCACCACGCCCGGCTAATGTTTGTATTTTTAGTAGAGATGGGTTTTCACCGTGTTGGCCAGGATGGTCTCAATCTCCTGACTTCATGATCCACCCACCTCGGCCTCCCAAAGTGCTGGGAGCCACCGCACCCAGAGCGATTAATATTCTTATCTTCTTTTACACCCAAGGAAGCGGGCCTTAGGAAGTCATGGGCTAACAGGGGCAGGGCCAGGCCTCTGCTTGGGCCTGCTATTTCCACTGCAGCACTGACCACCAGATATTCATCTTCACAGGGGATGGAACTGCCAGAAATGGCCTAACCTTGGTGCGGGACACTGGGTAGCAAAGCTAGGAGTTTATAAGAGGCCAAGAAATGTTCATATCTGAGCCTCCAAAAGGACAGCAGCCCCCACCTAGTCAGACTCATTCTCCAAGGATCACCCCTGAGAATCTCTGTTTCTATCTGGTAGCCTAACTGGAGCCCTAAGAAAACCTGTTTTGTCCTTTCTGTTCAACCCTTGAAAATAATTCATAATTCAAAGGGACCAAATGTCAGCCTTTCTGCTTGGTGAGCCTTCCCCAGCCAAATGCCAGGGACCCCTGCATGACACAGAGTCACTCACTCACAGCTTTCAAATTCTCTTTATTAAAAATCTTTTCTCTTTTGTAAAAACAAACACTTTGCAGTCAGTTATACAGATCAGGAAAAGTCGTGACAATTTATAGGACACTCAACAAATTTCAATACTTTACAAGTTCAAACTTAAATTAACTTAGTGTTTTTGTTTTTCTCATAAATTCAAAAAACAAACTCTGGTCCAGTTCAAGTATAATCTAATTATCTAACAGGTCACAGCCTTGGACTGTCCAAGAATGGGAAACCCCGATACTAATGGCTGCTGCTCACACCATCAAATTTTCCAAATTCTTTGGGGATACTGTCTAGATAGATGCTATTTTGGGTGTTAACAATGAAAAGAAAATTATACAGGCCTTTTGTTATATTAACCTGGGGTAAATATGAATCTGTTGCTCAAGGTAGCAATTGCTCTTCAGCATCCTTTTCTGGGAGACACTTTGAAATGGCTGACAAAACACTGAAAAAAAGCTTTAAAAAACAAATCAATATTTTCCTGGTTGCCTTTAATACTGCATTGTGTATGGCACACGTAGGAATAAAAAGTGCAAATCATAGGGTCGGTGAAGGACCATGCCAATGGAATTGTATAAAAATAAATAAAAATAAATACATATGTACACAAGTATAGACTCTTAGATGATTTTAAACTGAAGGTTCTGATTGAATGCAGATAGTGCCTTATCTCTTTCCCTCCCAGGGGCCCTCCCTAGCTTTCCAATATGAAGGCCAGTCTATCACATGGGAGCCATAACACTACACGACCATCTGGATTTCCGGAAATGCTGCTGGGGATGGGGGGTGGGGGAAGGCAGGGGTGGAGCAGAATGAGCTGGTGAAGTCTGCTCCCACTTTGCTAGGGGATAAAGTGTCCAGTCTCTCTGATAATGTACAGTTCTAGCCTCTGATAAAAATTGTATGCTATTTCCAGCAAAGTTCAGCAAGAAGGCCAAAGAACTGCCCCCAGAATTCCCTTCAGTGGCAAGAAAGACACACAAGATCAAAGGTTTTCTGAGAAATGGAGGAGGCAGAGCTGGTGTCCAGAATGCCAGGTTCAAACCTGTGGAGTTCCAGGGGAACAATCTGGGCTGAGCCACGATCTTCAGACTTTATTTGAGATACCAACTTTTCAGCAGCCCCCATATGGTCTTCTCAAAAGATAAAATTACAACAAATTTACTTTAAAGATTTTAGCTGGCTTTTATTTTTGATTCTAGAATTGGGCAACACGTCATTCTATAAAATAGAATGAGTGTTCCCAGGAGCTGAGCGGAGGAGTTTGGCTTTATAGACAGAAAAGGGCTGAGGAAAGCAGACACAAAGAACAAAAACCAGACTGGTCATCTCAAAGTTGCTTTCCTTATAAAGGTTAAAACCAAGGACACTTCTTCATCATGCTGGTTAAAACTGGCCTGTTTGGGGATTTGGCTATTCTCTTTCTCTCTCTCTCTCTCTCTCCTGATTTCTTGGAAGACAGAACTTTAACATGAGTGACTCCCTTTTGTTTTGGTCTGTTGGGCCTAGTGCAGGAGCTCAGTTCAAACCAACAGCCTCCTATAAATTTTATTTAATAGTCTGATGATGATGATGAGTTCAGGTTTCTTGCTTCTTCCAACCTCTCCGCATCACACCTGTTCAAGCTGGTCCGCTTTCACCCGGTGCTTGCCTTAACTGTTCTCTCTCACCAGCTCCCAGGAGTACGTCCCTTGCCAATGACTGCATGCTTTCAGGTTTACACTGATCATTTTATGTTCTTCATTTGTTCCCTTTGTGTGCCTCAGTTACCTGATATAAAATGTCAGCCTTGAACTAATCTCTCTGCCCTTCCTCTATTAGTACAGAGGACAGAATGTGCAGTATGATCTCACATGCCATAAAAAGGAAAATGAAAACAAAACAAAACAAAACCCTACACAGTCCCTTCTCAGTCTGCCTGCCCAAGGTCAGGAATGAAACAACAGGAACTGCCTAGGGGAGAGTGACCTGTCTTCCTTGTTTTATTTTTCCTGGGCTAAGCTATGAAGGGTGCTTTCAGGAGAGTATCTCAGCTCAGGAAAACAGCTCCACGCCCCCCTTCTTACCTGCCCGAGGGCCTCTCTATGGCTGTGGCCGAGCCTCATTTCCCCCAGCACCTTTATCCCATACCCTTTCAATGGAATATCAGACTACAGACCCCACAGCCTGAAGGTACCCACCCTCCAGTACCAGAAAGAGCAGTGGGAATCAGGACTTTTCATAACATTTTGGCATCAAAGTCTACACAGGCAGTCAAACCCAAGGAGCCCTCAACTATCTGCCCAGCTGGAAAGGGTCCACCTACAGACACCCAGCAAACTTCAATGCCACTCTTTGGCTCTGCAGCCTTCTCTTTCCTTAGCTTCTCCCCCAACTGGGGGGCCATTTAAAAACCATCCCATTGAGAGGAGGTTGTACCCCAGAGTGCAGGCACCACGGCTGAGTGAAGGACAGATGATGTTTCCTTGACTTAAATAAGCTCATTTAACCCCCCAAACAACTCTGTTTTCCACAGCCTGGAACTGTGTCTCAAGCCAATGCTACACATTGCAGAAAGGCCAGCATTCCACCTAAACCCACGCCAACTGCTGCTTTAGCTGGAGGAAGATGCTTCTGTTTTTATTTTTAATTATAGTGAATTTGTACCAAATTCATTGTCCAGAATAGAACAAACCCTGACATCTCCTGAAATCAAGAGGAGGGAAGTAAGTTTGGAGGAAACTTATCAGAGCTTCCACAATGAAGGGCTCTTTTCATCTCTAAAATTCATTTTATTTTACTTTAAGGCATAGGTCTGGCAGACTTCTAGAAGAACTGACAGGATGAAAGAGTTATTAAAAACAGAGGCTTTTCAAAAGGGTGGCCCAGCTGGAGGAAGAGGTTAATGAAGTCCCTCCCAGCTCTGCCAACAGATTGTCCGTGATGTCCCCTCACCGGGACTGCAGACCCGACTCGGCTCCCCAACGCAGGGGATACACGGGACACCAGACAGAGATACTGCTGTAGACTCACTGCAGGGGTTTGCCTGACCCAGGAGTTTCCATTAAACCTTTTCCTTGCGTGACTCAGCCAGGCCTGACGTATTAGATCCTATCAAGAATTTAAACACTGTGAAAATCCCTGAGAAGTTGGGTTTTGTGAAAAGGAAATGATTCTTGGCACATAAGGAGAGAGGGAGAGAGAGAACAAGAGGAAAAGAGAGAAAAACGAATTGAAAGATGGTTTGAGAGAAACAAGAGTCAACAGGGAGAGAGTTGGTGACCCTCAGTGGGCTGGACACACCTGGGTGACTTGGCTCCTGGAGACATTTCATGGGCATTTCACTGAGTCTCTGGGAGCAAACGCAAGCAATGTGCCCTGCTTGGTTTTCCTTCCTCTCAGGCTTTAGTCCTGTCCCCAGAATCAGGAAGGCCCCGCTTCCTTCGGCAAGCTCTCCTTTCCAACCTTGCAGCAGCAGTAGAAGCAGAAGCATCAGAGCTTTTTCCTTTCGAAGCGTGGCACGATTCCACTGTCCTCCGGCCTCGGGCTACCTGCCCCCTCCGTCTCCTTGAGGCCCTCCTCGGCCAGCTGGGACAAATATTTCTGTGGAAAGAAGAGGGGAAGTGGAGGAAGGGACACATTAGTAGGGACCTAGAAGGAGAGGAGAGGAGGGGACATGCCTCGATCATCCCTCTCCTGGCATCTGTGCCCAGCTGTGGGGTTTACCCTCTTCCTGGTTCATAGATCCCCCTAGGCTACAGAACTTATGCTAAGTACCTCATTATGTTAGGTTACAAGTAATACATGTCTCCTGTAGAAAAAGTAGAAAGTACAGGCTGGGTGTGGGTGTCTCACACCTGTAATCCCAGCGCTTTGGGAGGCGGGTGGATCACCTGAGGTCGGGAGTTGAGACCAGCCTGACCAACATGGAGAAACCCCATCTCTACTAAAAATACAAAAAATTAGCTGGGTGTGGTGGTGCATGCCTGTAATCCCAGCTACTCAGGAGGCTGAGGCAGGAGAATCGCTTGAACCTGGGAAGCAGAGGTTGCTGTGAACCGAGATCACGCCATTGCACTCCAGCCTGGGTAACTAGAGCGAAACTCTGTCTAAAAAAAAAAAAAAAGAAACAAGAAAGAAAGAGAAAGAGAGTAGAAAGTAGAGCTATAATAGCAAACACTTCCAAAGCCCTTATCTAGTGTGAAGTGCTGTTCTAACTGCTTGACTTAAATAAGCTCATTTAACTCCCAAAACAACTCTGTTTTCCAGAAACAACCCAAGCTCTAGGCAACATATCTATGCCTAAAAGGCAGAGGGAGGGAAGCTGGAAGGCAGGGTAAATGAGCGCTGGCCTATGGCAGCTGTGCAAAACAGCACCACGGCCTGACATTTGAGACTCTTAACAACCTGTTTCCTGTCAGGGCAGGCTAGTGGGTGGGGAGCCTTGGAGGTCTTTTGGCGGATTTGAAAATGGGCCTGTCTGTTCCATCGCTGAGGGCTGCCTCTGCATGACCCCAGAACACTCACTGCTATGACTGGCCTCGGACCAACACTGTGAGCCAGGTCGGGCCTTTCTTGGGCTATCTGGAGTCAACACAGTGAGGCAGACTAGGACAGGTTTGAGGCCCCAGCTGGGGTTCTCTGACAGGGCAGCAAGGAAAAGGCAAAGAGCACTGGATTAGGAGACCGAAGGGTGCAGACCAGTACGGTGGTTAAGTGTGTGCACTTTGAAGTCAGATGACCTGGGTTCAAATCCTAGCCCTCAGCAGGCAAGTTATCAAATATCTCTGACATCTGTGAAGGGAGGGGAATAACAGTAACTACCGCATAAGGTTGCTGTGAAGTTGAAGAGAGGCAACACAAGGCGTTCAGCACAGCGTTTGACACAGAATAAACACTCAGTCATGTGGGCTTTTCTTATTAGCACAGCACCAGCCATATGAGTTGGAGAAAGCCACTCCTCTTCTCCCAGCCTCAGACTACTAATCTGCTAAATGGGAGGAACAGTTGTCCTCACCCTCCCTTCTGGGATGGTTTGAGGGTCAGATGACAGGGTGTGTGTGAGATGACCAGGTCTGCCTGCTCTCTCCATAGAAGAGACTACAGTTGGCTTCCAGAAATGGGTGCAGCCTGACTGGGAGAAGAGCAAACGGTGGATGGCAGCAGGCAAAGCTGCTGATGGAGGGCCTGGGTTCTCCTCTGCCTTGGCTCAGGGAGGGTAAACCATGTGCTGAGGAAGGCAAGTGAATGAGCGTCCAGTACATGGACACATTCCGCTCCAGGGCCTGGAGCCAAGCAGGTATCTAGTTTTCCTATCGAGCGCTGGCTCCACCTGTTGTTCTGAATCACTCTGGGTGGGTTCTTGCAGAGCCGTGACCAGCCGTGGGGCACAGCACAGGCTGCTCAGAGAGAACAGAGGCTCCTTCAACCTGCTTCCTGCCTTTAGGAGCAATCTCTGGTCCTCAACTCAAGGCCTCTCAGTTGTGTTCAGTTTAAAAGTTGCCTGATTCAAGTGTCAGTCATCACCTGCTGCTTGAGGTGGGGGAGACTGTGTGGACAGAGGCATTCTGTCAAAGCCACTGACAGAAATCCTACCTGGGAAGCCTGTGGTTGGAAACTCCCAGCTCCCCAGCCGGTGCACCAGGTAAAGCTGCACTGCTGCTGGCTGGCACGAGGGGCTTAGCCAGTGTCTACCCCAAGGCACCCCAAGGCCACAAGAATGGCTCTGGCCTGCTGCGGGCAGGGGAATCTGCCTGGGGGCGTGGCCCAGAGGCTCAGAACACAGTGCAGTCCACTGCCCTGGGAAACATACATGAATTAGAATTAGAGGCCCTGGCAAGTCTGAACTCTTCCTAACTTCCAAGGTGACCTTGAACTGTGTGGCCCCCTGAAGGGCTGCACAATACCACTGCAAATGCTGGATGAGAGAAAAGGTTCTCACGCCAACATAGCAGAGCCTGACATAAGGATGGTCTACAATACAGACTCTCAGGCCCAGCCCTAGAGAAAACAAGTGTAGGGTGAGATCCAGGAAGCTGCATTTCTTTCTTTTTTTCTTTTTTTTTTTTTTTGAGACAGAGTCTCGCTCTGTTGCCCAGGTTGGAGTGCGGTGGCGCAATCTCAGCTTACTGCAAGCTCCACCTCCCAGGTTCAAGTGATTCTTCTGCCTCAGCCTCCTGGGTAGCTTGGATTACAGGCATGCGCCACCACGCCCAGCTAATTTTTGTATTTTTAGTAGAGATGGGGTTTCACAATGTTGGTCAGGCTGGTCTCGAACTCCTGACCTCGTGATTCACCCACCTCGGCCTCCCAAAGTGCTGGGATTACAGGCGTGAGCCACTGTGCCTGGCCCAGAAAGCTGTATTTCAAAAAGATGCCAGCTGGTACAAAGACGAAGGTTTGGGAAAGTCAGGACCAGATGATTTCCAAGACCCCTTCCATCCTTGCCATTGTGTAGGTTTCATCTTGTCGGGAAAAGGGATGATTATGTCTTCAAGCTAGATGACTTCCCTCAGCTGGCTTTGTGGGACCCAGTCTGACCCTCCTGATCTGGCCAAGTCAGGCCCTTCTTGCCTTGCCCCTGGAGAGGCCTAGCCCTGGGCCACAGGCCCTGTGGCTGCCTCAGTCACAGAGCAGCTGCTCTCCAGAGGGAAATCAAAAGGCTTAAATGACCTGAGTTTGGGCATAGCCTATGAGAGTCCTCTGCAGATGGTGACCCAGGCCATGACATTCTGGGTCTCAGTTTCCAAGACTAGTATAGTAGAGTGAAAAGACGAAAGTGATTCTGAATCAGGCGATTTGATCCTAGGCCCAGTAACTCACTATCTGCGTGGCCTTGGACAAATTACATAGCTTCTCTGGGCCTCAATTTTCTCAATCATTAAACAAGAAAGTTGGCCCATATCTGAGTTTTTGTTGTTGTGTTTTTTGTTGTTGTTGTTGTTGTTGTTGTTGTTTTAACTAGGCATGCACATTTGAATCTTTTGGAGAACTTTCTTAAATTACATCTCCCTGCAACCTGCCTTCCACCCCCAAATTTTACTAAATATCTAACTTAGTACCTGTATTTTAGAAATATTGTTCAGGGCCGGGCGCGGTGGCTCAAGCCTGTAATCCTAGCACTTTGGGAGGCCGAGGCGGGTGGATCACGAGGTCAGGAGATCGAAACCATCCTGGCTAACATGGTGAAACCCCGTCTCTACTAAAAATACAAAAAACTAGCCGGGCGTGGTGGCGGGCGCCTGTAGTCTCAGCTACTTGGGAGGCTGAGGCGGGAGAATGGCGTGAACCTGGGAGGCGGAGCTTGCAGTGAGCCAAGATCACGCCACTGCACTCCAGCCTGGGAGACACAGCGAGACTCCGTCTCAAAAAAAAAAAAAAAAAAAAAAGAAATACTGTTCAGATGAGTCTGGATCATGTCCCTGGTTAAGAATGGCTAGATCAGTCACTTTTAAACAATTTAATGATAATAGTAATGCCTAGCCTGGGACTTGGGCATAGCCACTGTGAGGACTCCTTGAGTCAAAGCCTTGTGGTTCAAATAACTAGTGTGATTCCTTGTAGTAAAAACAGCAGGTGTCTTGAGATACACCTTAATATTAATATTAATACACATTAATATCTCTGAAATAAAAATGCATTTTACAGTTGGTGGAGTCTCATCACTTGATTTGCAACATTTTTTTTTCTAGTTGGTACGAAAAAATAATGGTGCCTTACAAATGATGGCACCTTAGACTGGGTGAAATACGGTGTATACAGTATTTTTTATATGTCGTCTTTTAACATACTACACCATTTATTTTATTTATTGCTTGTCACCTACATTAGGATGAAAACTCCATGAGAACAGGGATTTTGTCCACTTTACTGTTGTTGTTACAGTATCCCCAGTCCCTAGAATAGTGTCTGGTACCTAGCATGCCTGTGGTAAGTATTTGCTGTATGGATGAACAGCTAAAAAGAACAAAGCAGTGGTTTTTTATTCTAGGAAGCAGGGATACCTGCATAGGGGAACAGAAACAGAGAAAAACTGGAACATTCGAGTCTTGTGGGAAGGGGTCAGCCCCAGTCACAGGCCGGAGGAACACTGGCCTAACTTGAGTTACTCACAGTATAGAGGGAGAGGCGGATATTGCCAAAGCCAATCCAAACAGGATGTTTTAAGTACTAAAGTAGAGACATGTGCTAGGAGCAACATGGGAGGTAGCCACCATGTGGAGAGCAGCCTGATGGAATCAAGTCTATGGGAAGATCAGGAGTTCTCCGAGTAGTGGAAGGAGACAGACACAGAAGCAGGAAACAGCTTTGTGTGCTTGGGGAATGGTAAGTAACCTGTGGCCTGGAGTAGGCCTTGCAGGTGGGAGCTAGACTCAGGGGCAAGCAAGGCCGAGGACCCCAGACACCTGGCCCGGTTATGGAGACTGGGGAGCCCCTGGCCTGCTGGGCAAGGAGGGTGGATGGTTACCTGTAAGTTCCTGTAGTGGACAGCACTGCGGCAGTGGCTCATCTTTGCTGTCTCCTCACTCGTGTAGAACAGCCCACACAGCTTGCAATAAAAGCCAGTCCTGGGAACCACGAACTCCACCCCTGGGGAAGGATGGGGGATAGACAGACAGGGTTAGGATGGCGTGGGAGGCAGGCCCCTGTGTCCTGGCAGCCATCAGGTAGAAATGGGAGCCACGAGCTCCACCCAACACTTGCTGTTGACCTTGGCTGTTAACAAGCTTCGCCAAGCCTCAGTTTCCTCATTTGCAGAACAGTCACAAAGAGACTCACACCCACTCCATTCACAGGTGGTTGTGAATATAAGGGATGGACTTGGCAGTGTCGTAAGCACTTAGCCATTCCACGGCCTGCCACTGGCCTGTTCTCCTACTATCAGCCTCCTTCCAAGAACAATGAAGGTGATTTCTGATATTTCTGATATTTCACTTGTTGGATTTCATTCTCCACACTGTACCTCTCTCTGCAGCTGCTGTGACCAGGACTCTCGAAGAATTCTCTCATTTTTGTTTGTTTATTTTAGAATTATGTTCTTTACAGAAAAAAAGTAAATAAACAGAAGGAAAAAATCACCCAGAGTCACTCCAATCCAAATATTTTCCTCCACATGATTAACCTATATGTAGGCCTCTTTTTGTGGGACCGTTTTAGTCATACCCTAATTACAATTCTCTGTCCTCTTTTTTTCATGCAATTGTATATCATTAACACTTTCCCACTTCCTCCAGTCTTTACATCTGAACCATCAATTAGCATTTCATTTGTGATTTATTAAATATAGGTCCCAGAATTCTGGGAGGCCTTTTGATTCCAAGCAAAGGAAAAAAATGGCACCACCACCACAGAGGGGTGACAATGTCACAGCCAGGGGATTCATCCTTGAAGGGATGGTGGCTGCTCCAGCCTCCACGAAGGTGTTCTTCAGGTCACAGTTCTCCTCTTGAAGACACAGTCAATCAGCGGAGTGGAAAGAGCCCAGCTCTAAGAGGGTTGAGGTCAGATGCTAAGAACCCATGTGACCTGGGGAGAGTTAGCCAAACTGCTCCTGGGACTCAGTTTCCTCACCTGAGAATGGAGGTAGGAACACATGTACTGTTTACCAGGCCCCTGACTGTGCAGTGCCAGCCAAAGGGCAGGGTGTGAGGGCCGGGAGAAGCAGGACCCATCAGGGAACTAAGAAAGAGGGGTAATGCTTGGAACACCCAATCCCACCTGCAGGTTTGGGGGCAAGCCTCTCTTTTCTGGGGCTGGGCAATGGTTTCAGGTCCGGCCATCCTGGGTAGAAGGGGGTAAGGGGCCTGGGAACGGCAGAGGCAGGGGAACAGCAATTTCTTGCAGGGGTGGGGACAGGAAAGGTCTCCACTTATGACAACCGCTCCAAGGCACAGCGTGGCCGACTGCAAGCCCAGCTGCTTGGGTGGCTTCACTTTCTTCCTCCCACCTCCCAGGACACTGAGCTAAGTGCTTAGGAGACCCTGTCAGAGGCAAGCAGCCTACACTTGTCACTAGAACTTTTTTTCCATTTCAAAATAGCCACTTATCAGTGTGAAGGGCAGCTCTGAGGGAGGGAGATGGGAGGGAAGGAGGGAGCCCAGGAGGCCTGCCCGGACTGACAGTGAGGCTGCAGTCCGGGGCCTGAGGTGTCCTCCTCAGCCTGGCTTTCTCTAACTGCCACGTCGCAGGCTACACGCCATGCCCTCAGCAGTGGCCCTTAGAAGCGAGGGGGCCTCACTCAGGCCCAGGTGCCTGGAAGGAGGTTGAGTGTCCTTCCCTTCCTCTGTGCAAAGGACGGAAAAGTGGCCCCAGCTTGGGCTGTGGGGGCCAGTTCTCCCCTCCACCTCGCAAACAGGTCCTGGCTCCTGGCTGTTGGTGCTGGCAGAGGCGCATTCAGCAAGGTCTGCCTCCTTCCTCTGTTGTTACAAAATAGTTTTCCCTTTGCTGCTGCTCTGCAGGGAGCCGAGACCCCCACAACACAGGAGAGGGGCAGCGGGGATAAAAGGAGGGCTTTGATCAGAGCCACACTCTCAGTCCCGTCCCAGCCTCTGAGCCAGCTGGGTGGTACCAAGAAAGAAGCCCTGGGATTTTTATTAAGCCCTCTGTTGAGTCCTCTGAGTCCCTGTCGGAGGGACCCCCAGAAGGGGTACAGCTGCCCTAGGAGCTACCACAGACCCTGAAGCAGGGATTGAGCTGGAGCCAAAGCCCCTGGCAGTGTAGCTGGAGTTATCCTCTGTAAGTTCTGGGAGAGATTGCACCTGAACAAAGACTTCTACTGTCAAACAAACAAACAAACAAACAAAAAACCCTTGGAAGCCACAGTGTCATGAAGAGAAAATAGAATGTAGAGTCAAACCCAACTCTTACTTATGCTGTGTGACCTCAGGCACACTGTTTACCCTCTCTGAGATTAGTTTCCTCATCTGCGAAATAGGAATAATAATGCTACAAGTGATGTTTAGGGGAAGCACCTATCATTTTGCCTGGTGCTCAGATAATACTGCTTTGGAGACACGTGTTAAATATTTCATCACAGAAGCTGTTAATAAGTGCCTAAATGTTGGCCTTCTCATCTGAACCCCAACCTCTCCCCAAGGCCACCTGGGGAACCCGGCTCCACAGTTTGGTGGCAACTTTCTTCCCTGGCCCCGGCTCCGCAGGTTCGGGCAGTACCAGGCAGCCACCAGGCAGAGAAGAGAAGCCTGGGTTGGGAGAAATCCCAACAGCTGCTAACTTGGACCAGAATAACGGGGTTGCTGCAGACACCACAAATCCCACTGCATAACTCAGGACACTTCTGGAATGTGAGGGGGACGTGAAGAGGCAGCATCAGGACACACTGCCCCGGCCCTGATGTGTTCTGGGGCCACTCAATCCTCCATTTTTCAGCCTCTACTAGGATCATGAAAGCTCCATTTGGCTTCTAATAATAGCTCATGGCACGGGTAATTATAACTCTGTCATCCTAGTAAAGCTGGGATGGATAGAGGAGGGAACTTGCACTTTGCAGGCAAAGCTGTTTGTTTCTACTGAGAGCAGGCCTTGGCAGGCTCGCACTGGCCAGGGTCATGCAGAGCTGGCCTGGATTTCAAGTGCAGTGTACTTCCCCAGCCATGCCCACCCCCGGTCCCTGAGCAACAGGACTGGCCTCCCTTTCCTCCCAACTGGAAGCCCAGTCCTTGACATCCCTTATTTCAACGCTATGCTTTCCACAGGGACAAAGCCAAAAAAATTGTCTCTCACCTCCCTAGAAGTCTCCATGCCAGTAGTGACCAGCCCTGGAGGGTAAAGGGTTATGCAGCCCCAGTGAGAGGAGCCATAATAGGTCTTAAATATTTCATGAGTGAATAATAATAATAGACAACCCTTATTAAGTACCTCCCACTAGAAGCCACTCAGACCTTACCAGTATTTGTTCATTTAATCCTCAAAATAACTCTGCATAGTAGGCTCCTATTACTATGGCTGATTCACAGATGAAGAAATCCAAGCAGAGAGGTTAAATCAGTTGCTCTTTGTCATCCAGCCAGTAAGTAGTAGACGGGGGATTTAAACTCAGGGAATCAGATTCCACACACTGTGTTCGTAGTTTCTGCGCAAAAACTGCCTTTCCTACACTGTGCTGCTGCCTGAACTGGAAGAACCCAGAGAACAGAGTGATCTGAGATGAGAAATCCTGAGTTCTTTTTTTTTTTTTCTTTTCCTTTTCTTGAGACAGGGTCTAACTCTGCTGCCCAGGCTGGAGTGCAGTGGCACAATAATGGCTCACTGCACCCTGGATCTCCTCCCAGGCTCAAGCAATCCTCCTACCTCAGTCTCCCGAGTAGCTGGGACTGCAGATGTGCACCACCACTCCTGGCTAGTTTTTATTTTATTTTTTGTAGAGACGGGGTCTCCCTATGTTGCCCAGGCTGAGAGATCCTGAGTTCTAACCTGCATTTGCTAATGTCATCTTGGGTAAGTCTCTGAACTTCAGGTTCCTCACCTGTCAAATGCAGAACCTCATCCCATACTCTTCCTTGGGGGACCAATGAGATAATGAGTCTCAAAGCTAACTGAAGACTAGTAACAAGTACAATCTGTAAAAGCCCCGATCTGAAAACAACCCAAATATTTGTCGACAGATGAATAAATAATGTGATGTATCCATATCTGCAATGCAATACTCCTCAACAATAAAAAGAAACAGACTGGCCGGGTACAGTGGCTCACACCTGTAATCCTAGCACTTTGGGAAGCTGAGGCAGGTGGATCACCTGAGATCAGGAGTTGAAGACCAGCCTGGCCAATATGGTGAAACACCATCTCTACTAAAAAAGACAAAAAAACTAGCCAGGTGTGGTGGCAGGTCCCTGTAATCCCAGCTACTCTGGAGGCTGAGGCAGGAGAATTGCTTGAACCTGGGAGGTGGAGGTTGCAGTGAGCCGAGATCACACCACCGTACTCCAGCCTGGGCAACAAGAACAAAACTTTGTCTCAAAAAGAAAGAAAGAAACAGATTACTGATCCACCCAACAGTACAGATGAATCTCAATGATGTTGAGCAAAAGAAGCCAAACTAGCACATACAATATGATTCCTTTATGTAAAACTCTAGAAAGTGCAAACTAATATTTAGTGACAGAAAGGAGATCCTTTACCTGGGGGTTGCACTGTGGGGAGGGAGGGGTTACATAGGAGACAGGAAATTTGAGATATGATGAACATTGTTCCCAGTCTTGACTGTGGTGATGGTCTCACGGGTATATTTATAGGTGAAAACTGATCAAACTATGCACCTTATGTGCACTTACTACATATCAATTATACCTCAATACAGCCAATTTTAAAAAGGCGAGATACTAGTTTCCTCCTAACTGGTTGGGAAAGATTAAAAACTGATAAAATCCAATGGGAGGTGGATATTGGGAACTCTCACTCAAGGTCACAGTGAAAACTGATACCATCTTTTTGGAGTGCAATTTAGTAGCAATTATGAAAATTTAAAATGCAAATACATATGACCCTACAACCCCCTGGCTAGGATGCTATCCCGCAGGAATACTGGCACACACATACCACTGAATAAGCACATCTGAAAGGCAGCAGAGAACAAAGGCTAAGAACATGGCTCTAGAGTCAGATGACTGGGGTTTGAACGTGACTCTGGTTTTTGCCTGTCCTTAGCTGTGTGACTCTCGATCTCAGATTTTTTATCTGTTAAATAAGGATAAAAACAGTACCTACCTCATAGGTGTTTTGAGAGGGTTAAATGTGATAATGCATGCAGATCACTAGGAATGGTGCCTGCATGGGGAATGTTAACAATAAAATCCTAGCTATTAAAATGGGAAAAAGAGCAGACAGCCTACGTGTTCACCAGCAGAGGAAAGATCAGTCATTTACAGCATAGCTTTTACGATGGAATATTTGCAGTGGTTACAAAGAATGTGTTCTCTATGTACCGACATGAAGAAATCTCTAAGACCCGCTACTAAGTGAACTTGTAGAACATTATGTGTGTAGTGTGATCCTATTTTTGTGAGAGAAAAACCGTGGGCATGACAGTGGTAGGCTACCTCTGGAGACTGGGGAGAGACTGCAGGGAAGAGATCAGACCTTTAATATTGACTTGATATGGTTCTTATTTTTTGAATTTGTTACAATAGTCTTTCACACTTTCTGTAATGAAAAACAGTAATTAAAAGACACAAATGACAAGGTAGCAGAATTTATTCTTAATTTTTGCTAGTGTCAATTAGGTTCCAAGTTCTTGGATGACAAGAGACTTGCATTATATTTCTTGGTTACCCCAGAGTGTCTAGCACAGTACCATGTTATCCAGTAAGTATCTGCTGACTGGCTGAATGCATGAAGGAGCCTCTCTTCTCCTGTAGGGTGGCCTTTGCAACTGTTTTCTACAGCTAAAATACTAGGGTCATCTCAGTTTATTCTAAGGTTAGTATTGCTTTTTCCTTCTTTCTTATGTTTTTGTCTTGGGAGATGCTGTGCAGCAAATTTATCCCTTAAAAAAAAAAAAAAAAAAAAAGGAAGTTTGCTCTCCAGATCTGACTAAAAAAATGGTACATCTGGAGGGAAGAAATAGTAAGACATTTTTTTAAAGGAGAAGGGAAAAAAAGAGCAAGGTGGATGGAAAGGATGAGCCTCCACACTGACCAGCCCCTCCCTGCATGATCAGACACGTGGTCATCAGGCATCAGATGACCCGTGCTTCTCATGCTTCTGTGTGACACTTTCCCAGATGACACTTTCCCGAGCTCTCCTGAGCAGCTGCTACTACTGCTTTATCTAGTTACTTTCCGACCTTTCAGAGCTAATGCGAGGACTCAAAGATGGTATAGGCTGGAGTTGCTGGGTTAATAGTTACGTCAGAATCTCCCAGGGAATTATATTAAAGTGCCTTCATTCCCTCCCCGAGACTCTGCTTAACTCTCCTCTTTGAAAAGGGATTCACTCCTAGGTGATTCCATCAGTAAACTAACTCCCCACTTCATTCCCAACACTTCCACCATTGAAAAAATCACTGTCCAAATTACAGTGAGAAAACTAAGACTCAAGAAGGGGTATGACTTATCTAAGGACACACAGTCACCCTTAAGTAGGAAGGACAGAAACCCAGGTCCCTCTGCTCAATACCCTTTCTATGAACTAGGGGGAGTCTGTCCCAAACACAGTCTATTCAGCATCATTGCCTCAAAAAAGTTTGTCCTCTAAGAAGAAAAAAAATGTAGCATTGTTCTGGGAAGGGCTGGAGCAATGAACAATAGCAGAAGAGGTTCATTTCTATTGACTTTATGGAGGCTGCTGGGCATTTGCTTTCCTGCCTGAATAAGGGCTAGGCTTAAAGCCTCCATGTCATCAAGAATAAAGCATTCCCTGACAGGAAAGACAAGGCTTCTTAGCTCTGGGTCCCAGGGCAGTGCTATTCAAGGCGTGTGTTCACGGAGTATCTGGTCTACTATAGGAGACTGAAATTGCAAGAAGCTTTACAGCTGCCCCTTGCAAATCTAGGTTATTGCATCATACATTTAAAATAATGATAGGCTGGCCAGGTGAAGTGGCTCACGCCTGTAATCCTGGCACTTTGGGAAGCTGAGGCAGGAGGATCACTTAAGCCCAGGAGTTGAAGACCAGCCTGGGCCACATATGGAGACCCCATCTCTATAAAAAACAAAAATAAAAAAAATTAGCCGGGCCTGGTGGTGTGCACCTGTGGTCCCAGCTACTCGGGAGGCTGTGGAGGGAGGATCACTTGAGAGCAGGAATTTGAGGCTGCAGTGAGCTGAGATCATGCCACTGCACTGCAACCTGGGTGACAGAGCAAGATCTTGTCTCAAAAGGACAAAAAACGATGACAACAACAAAATGACAAAAAGCCCTCTCAAGTTCTTAGAGGTGGCTATGGAACTGTTATTTCCTAGACCTGAATTTCAGTAAGGACTGTGTGTTTTGCTTACCTAGAGGAATGCTAAGTTCACTGAACACATCCTCTGGTTCCCAAGAAGGCAAAAAAAGGGGCTGTTTCAGTTCCACTTCAGCGTACTCTGGTGACCTCACCTCCAGAGATTTCATTTCCACATACCTGGAGTTTTCTGCAAAACATGAACCAAGGCAAAAAGAAAAGAAAAGAAATGAAATACAACACGCCTCAATGAGTCCCTGAAATTCTATCCCTGCATAGTATGATTGGGAATTGTCCGTTGGACTGCTTAATCACGTAAGGCTAGGGCAACGGCTGCTAATTAGAACCAAAGCACTGTCATTAGGAGCTTTTTCCACTGCCAAAAGAATGCCACACACAATAAAACTTGGCAAATCTTTGCATTTGGCCCAGGGGGATGGGCTACTGATGGCTTCAGTTGAGAAGATCCACCCCCCATGCCTCCCATCTCAGTATCATTCCATCTCTGCAGGCAGGGGAATTACTGACGGGCAAAAATTGTGCTGACGTCCACCGAGGCTAGCAAAACAGGCAATACCATTCTCTCCCCAAGCTTGTCAAGCTGTTATTAAATATGAACCCCAAACACTGGGTCAGCTAATGAGCCTCTAACACTGGCACATGTTAAGACCTATACTGCAAAATAAAAGGGGTTTGACTGGAGTGAAGTGAAGATTTCACTGCTCCTTTATTCTTGCCTTCTCTAGACAGAGGCTGGGCCTCAGGGTTTCTCTAGCAACAGGAAGGCATTTCACGGCGGGGTTTCCATGGAAACTCAGATCCATGCAGGTAAAAAACAGCTCAGGTCATCTTGACATGGAAAAAATCCCAAGCCTCCCAGTTACCTAATAGTTCATGCCACCCACAGGGCTCTGGGGTGAAATGTTCATTTTTAAGCCTTTCCTCTGTATTTTCTGTCCCCGACTCTCACTTCAAAGCCTGGTGTGCTGCAGGCTTTCTGTAAAGCAAATCCCTAATTATTTTCACAGTGAGAACCTTAAAGGCTACTCTCCCTCCCTTCCCCCAAACCCCTTGATGGATCTGAGGTTCCACTTGGCAGAGAAGACAGAGCTTAGCCTATTTTAAACTCTCTCTTTCATGATGTCACAGTGCCGGGCATAGGCACAAAACGTCACCTCCAATGGAGTAAGAGAAGATCCTAAAACGAGTCTTGTATCACCGTCAGACCCTAGCAAAAAATGGGTCTGAGGTAGTAAGAGGGGGAACAGCTGTACCCTTTAGGGATCCCCTGTTCCTTCCCCTTCCACTCCTTTCTTGCCTCCCCTATTCCTGCCCCCATCACACAAATAACAGCCTGGGTGGCCCTCTGCTGTGCAGGCATGAGGCTCCTCCTGATCTCCTTTTGCTGATAACTCAATCTAATTTTAGTTATCCAAGTCCATCTGGGCTCCTGTAAATGCAGAGAAGTCTGCCCTGAGTTTGCTTGTCAGAAAACATGCAGCCTCCGATCTGACTTCCTTTACACCACTTGCCTAAAATCGCTAACAGTTTAGCCAGGCTTTTAGAGGCTTGCCTCTGTTACTAAATCACTTTCTGCACCCACTTTAATGCTAGTTGAAACCTTACTTATGTTCATTCCAGCCTGCACATGCTCATACTTTATCAGGTGAGCAGGGGTCCAATCAACCCGACCACCCATGAGGAAAGGGGAGGTAGTTACCCGGGGTCAACACTCCTTGGCAAGCTTGGCTTTGGAGGTCGGTTTCGATGGGGGGGCTGGTTTTCTCCTCCAGGGGGCTGCCTTCGCAAGCCCCATCTTCCGGGGTCCCCCTGGTCTTGCAATCATCGACAAATGGGCTTGGCTGCCGGGCCCTCTCCTCTGCTGGCTTAGGGGAAGACATTTGCTGGACTGTAGGGGCTGGATGAACATCTGAGCTCTCCACTCCCTTTACCTCCTTCTCGTAGCAATCTGAATCCTCCAGGGAGAGGCCTGTCTCACTTTCAGCTGGCTTCCGCTCAGCATCCAGATTTAGGCCAGGCATTTCCACGTCCATGTCACTGGGACAGCTTGTGGAAGCACAGGGCAGTTCTCTGGGTGACTTGAGGCTGATTTCTGCAGCCCCATTCCCTACGGCCTTGACTCCCTCCTTGGGGAAATCCTGGGCCAGGTCTAGGTCTAAGGTGGTTGTCACACATGAACATGTTTCCGGGCAGATTTTGTCTTTCTGGTCAATGGGCACAATTTCTTCCAGCTCTGGGATGTCTGGTTCCATGATAAAATCTTCTTCTTCCCCAACCTCGTCCACTGTCACCAGCTCCTCCATGTTAGTGGGATACCAGCTCTCCCCCTCTGCCTCACTTCCACTCTCCCAATCTTGTTCCTGTACAAAAATGCAGAAGGAGGTCAGAGGGTGGTTGAGAGCATTCAACCGGAAGGCATAAGACTTGGCCATGAGGACCCCTCCAAACAGGAAGAACCTGAGCATTCTTACCTCTACCCGGTACAATTACTGTGAACCACTCAAGTCCAACAGCACCAACTCATCCTTAGGGTGATGCTCAAAGTTTGGAATAAGCCCTTAATGCTTAATCCACCGTATTTAAAGTGACACAAAGAATTTCAAGCCCTAGTAGATAACAGGTGCTCAATATACAGCTTTTGAATGCATGAATAATGAAGTTATAAACTCTAAATACTTACTGGAACATCTTTCTTGCATCTGGGTCACCACTAAATGTAACTGCAGCAAAGCCCCTCACAAAATTCCCCCAAGCACCCTCTCCCAGCAGGGGTACATACACTTCCACAGTCAAAGCTCCTACTTGGCCCCTTCTAGAACTTTCCCCTTGGCATCTGCAGCAGCCCATGGACTCCTGACTCCACAGAAAGATCTAGGAGATCAGCTTTCCTGCCAGCGATACTCATCTCTCCTGCCTCTCCTGACTGGAAAGGCACGAAGATGGCCCCGTTCCAAGGACATTTCTTTTTGTTGTGGCAGCCCCAGCCCAGGAGAACCGTAACTGGATTTTTCATTTTAATTAAGTAAAACAATCTGTACAAGCACAGTAGATGTCTTGTTAATCCTAGGGTCTGGGCCTGCTGAAGTCAAGGCCCCAGCTTGAGTGCCTAAAGCAGCTTCTCGCCCTATCCCCGCCAAGGGACTTGTCTATTTTGGGAGCCTGGCTCTGAAGCCTGAGTCTTTTTTTGGGCACATGTTTTCTCATGGGAACACAGCCAAGTTGCTGGAGAGTGAGCAGAGCTCAGACATGTGGGTAAAGATCGCTTCAATAAAAACTATCCGAAGATTCCAGGCACAGCCACTCCTCCAAAGTAGTGCTAGGAGGACTGGTTCATTCATGTAACTAATGGTGGGGTCTCAGCCATATTCCATCTAGCAGGACATCACCAGGCAACAGGGGGACTCCTGTGACTCAGTCCCTCATGGCAGAAGTGCAGAATCTGAAATAAACTTTACCTTCTTTGTCCTTGTGTCTTCCGGATCAGAGAACTCTGCTTCTTTCTCTTGTCTGCCCACTGATTGAGGGCTTTCTTCCATGCCCTCCTGTTCCTCTTTTCCAGCCTTACCAAAGGAAGGACAGAGCAAACCAAATCAACAGTGAGCAGTGACAGGGAGAAGAAAAAAAGAATGATATTGAATGCAGGTCCCAGCTCTCAGAGGGGTTTCACATACAGCATTTTCTTTATCCTCCCGGAATCCCTCGGAGGCGGCTGCTATTAGCATCTTCATTTTATAGATCAGAAAACTGAGGTTCAGAGAGGTTAAGTAATTTGCTCACAGTCACACAGACAAATGGAGGCAGAGAAATGTCTTGAAGCCTGGCCCGATGTCTTTAGGGGGCAGAAATCCCTGGCAAACTGGGTATTTTTTGCAGAGTAGAAGCAGCCAAACTACTGGGCCGGCCAAGACCCTGGGGTTAAATCATTCAGGACACTTATAGGTAGAAAGGGCGTTGTCACCCAGTCAGAGTGCCCTCGCACCTTTCTTTTGCTCTCTGTCCTAGAGTGACAGCCCAAACTAGCACTCCCTTTCTTCCCTCCTTGTATTCCTTTCCCCCAAATCAGGGCCCTCACACTAATGCCCATGTCTGTGAAACTAAATAATTGAAAGCAGGCGTTTGGTTTGAGAATTAGGGCCTCTAACCAACCTTTAAGACAGGGGATCAGCAAACTATAGTCTGCAGGCCAAATCTGACCTGCAGCCTGTTTTTGTATAGCTTGTGAGCTAAGAATGAATTGTACATGTTTACATAATCACATTTTAAGTGATTATAGAAGTGCCTACATAAAATCCGCAGTTTTGCCTCTTGGCCCACATAGGCTAAAATATTTACTATCTGGTCCTTTGTAGAAAACTTTGCCAACCCCCATGTTAGAAGTTTCTGGGGGATATTCTCCCATGACTTAAACTTTGTCCACCAAATCAATGACTACTCCTGGGTTTTCTCAGGGGCAAGTTGCAGTTCTAGGACATTCTTGGCTGAGGTTGGTTCGAAGTAAACCACTCTAGTTCTGATTTCTTACAATCAGACATACCTCCTTGAGCTGACTAGGAGCCAGCTGGAGCAGAAGCTCAGGGCTGACTGGTTTCACCAGTTATTACCAGACAGGGACGCATGGTTCAAATCCTCAAGTCCTTTCTGTTTCCAGTGTTTGCTGTGAAGATTCCACCAAAAGCTTTGCTGAAGTCTACCGCACTAGCCTGAGTGTAAAGCAGCTACAAATACCTTTTTAGCTATTACAGCTTCTACCAACAGGTGACTTTATTTTTATCTCCCGAATCAACTATGCATGGCCCTCTCTTGTCAAAATGAATAATCCTTACCCTTCCCAAGCAGCTCCTGCAGCCACACTCCCAGATCAACACAGTAAAGGAACCCCCTTCAGTTCAAGTTGGGAGAGGCAGGGACAGTCTTGCCAGCCGGGCTGAAAGCCCTCCACCAAGCAGACCCCTGCTCTTCCTCCCTGCAGGCAAAGGAAACAACCTTTCAGAGCTTCCCTTTGCTCTGGGATCACTTCCAGGAGAAGGCAGCAGCTCAAGGGGAACAGATGGGTGCAATGGGTGCAACGGGTGCCCCCAGCTGCCCACACCAGCTCACAGACTGAGACTGAAACGCCAACTCTTGCAAGCAGGGCTCTGCCACCACAGGGCATGGGCTACTGAACCACTTCCAAACTGGTCTCCCACCTCTGCTCTGTACCCTCCCCCAAAATCTATTCTTGCCAAGGCAATCAAGAATGATCATTCCAAAATGCAAAAATGATCACATCCTCACCATATTGTCTTTTTTTTTTTTTTTTTTTTTTTTTGAGATGGAGTTTTCCTCTTGTTGCCCAGTCTGGAGTGCAATGGCATGATCTTGGCTCACCGCAACCTCTGCCTCCTGGGTTCAAGCAATTCTGCTGCCTCAGCCTCCCGAGTAGCTGGGATTACAGGTCCCGCCACCACACCTGGCTAATTTTATTTTATTTTATTTTATTTTTATTTTTAGCAGAGACGGGGTTTCACCATGTTGGCAAGGCTAGTCTCGAACTCCTGACCTCAAGTGATCTGCCTGCCTCGGCCTCACAAAGTGCTGGGATTACAGGCATGAGCCACTCTGTCCAGCCTCCTCACTGTATTTTCTTGCTTAAATACTTCATTTGCGTCCCCTGGTACTTAGGATAAAGGCAAAAATCTTCGACCTGCCTACAAGGCCCTGCATAGTGTAGGCCCTGTTTATAAGTCGGCCTCACCTCCCGTTACTCTAATGCCAGCTCTCTGCTACGGCAACGCTGGAGCCCTGGAGCTGCTGGAGGCCCTTGTGCACGCTGCTCCCTCTGTCTTTTCGCTTTCTTTTCACCCAGTCAATACTCACCATGCCTCCAAATCTCAATAGTCACAGCCTAACTCTGAGAAGGCTCGGATTTATCACAGGCACTCAGCATTGTGTACCTTCATCTCCTTCTTAGCACTTAATAGTCAAGCTCTTCTGTTCATTTGAGAAATCACTGGATTAGCATTTCTCTCACTGGACTATGAGCTCCGCGAGCCCAGGGGTCATTTCAGTGTCACTAACTGTGGTCTCAGTGCCAGGTGCTCCACAAATATTGGTCAATAAAAGAATGAAATTGGTAGAAGGGGGTGGGGTGAATAACAAGTTCTCACCTGTCTTTCCACATGGTTGGGTCTTGTCTAGGCTCTGAAGCGAGCATAAGGGTTTTAAAATCTTCTCCTGTTATGGATTGGTTATACCAGGGGTTATACTCTGGGGCTTCTAGATGGCATCCAGCCCACAGCTATGTTTTGGTTTATACTAGGCATTTGTCTTGCTCTAAGAAAAGGGAGATTTGACAGTGTGGCATGCATTCCTGCATGACAGCTGTAGAATGGAGCTGAGCAGTGGCTCCAGCCCCACAGATGGCACCACTTCCTCAGTCAACCATGGTCCCATCACGCTGGCCTGGCTCCAATTATCATTAGCCTGGCTTCCCTTCCCTAGGAACCTGGGCTTGCCACTCTCGAACCCCCCTCCCAGTAGCATGTAGCAGTGTTTCTTCCCCATGTTTTCCTTATCTGTGACTTGATTTATTTCCTCCTCTTTATGGTCCTGTGGCCAGGATTGGGTCTCAGGTATGGATGTGGCCACCTATCACCACGGAGCAGCACGCACACTGGCTTCTCAACCATGGGCACTTTCTCCAGAGAGCTCAGGATTTTTTAATGAGTGTGAGCTCTTTAAGGTAGTACAACAGCCTTGTGATCACACCCATTTTACAAACAAGAAAACTGAGGCAGAAGAAAACAGGGTGTGACCTGGTTCTCAGAAGCCAGGCCTTTTTCTCCAGAGTCTGGGTTCCATCCTTCATACCTTCAACAGATACCCACTGGACACCCGCTCTGTGCTAAGCCCTCCTCTAGGGACTGGGAACACAGCAGTGAACACAACAGACAAAACTCCCTGCCTTGTGAAGGTTACACCTGGGAGCCGGGGGTGACAATAGACACTAAGTAAAATAAAGACATTAAGTGATAGGTTTGAAGGTGGTAAATGCCACCAAAAACAGGAAAGTAGGGAGGTAGAGGAGGGGGTTGGGGTGTTGAGATGGTCTGCAGTGGTGGGGAGGGAGAAGAGTGGGTTGGGGTGTTGAGATGGTCTGCAGAGGTGGGGAGGGAGAAGAGGGGGTTGGGGTGTTGAGATGGTCTGCAGTGGTGGGATGGGAGAGGAATGGGTTGTGGTGTTGAGATGGTCTGCAGTGGTGGGAGGGAGAAGAGGGGGTTGGGGTGTTGAGATGGTCTGCAGTGGTGGGAGGGAGGGGAGCGGGTTGGGGTGTTGAGATGGTATGCAGTGGTGGGGTGGGAGAGGAATGGGTTGGGGTGTTGAGATGGTTTGCAGTAGTGGGAGGGAGGGGAATGGGTTGGGGTGTCGAAATGGTCTGCAGTGGTGGGGTGGGAGAGGAGGGGTTTGGGGTGTTGAAATGGTCTGCAGTGGTGGGGTGGGAGAAGAGTAGGTTGTGGTGTTGAAATGGTCTGCAGTGGTGGGATGGGAGAGGAATGGGTTGAGGTGTTGAGATAGTCTGCAGTGGTGGGAGTGGGAGGAGCAGGTTGGGGTGTTGAAATCGTACGCAGTGGCCAGGGAGAATAGAGAATGTGGCCATGAGTAAAGACAAAGGAGGCGAGGAGCAAGCCAGGAAGACTTGTGACTCCTTGGCAGCAGCAACACCTGTAAAGGCACTGAGGGCGGGAGGTGCCTGGTACACTGGAAGAACAGCAAGCCCTGCTGCCTTCATGCCAAAGTTCAGTTGCCACCTGTTATCTGACTCCTGGGGCAGCCCTGTGGGGTCTGGGCTTTTCTCAAGTTCATCATACAGAGTTTGAGGACAGTGCAAAATACTCTCTGTTCTGCTGTCATTCCAACACAGTGTTGGACTGCCTGGCTCCAACCTAAAGAAACAATCTGTGAGGGGCCCCAGTAAGTCCCTACTGACTCCACCCCAAGGCTGTAAAAGGCAGAACCAACTTGAGGGACAGAACTGTAGGGAAACTCTTGGGGCTTTCTGAGACTCTTTTTCCATCTGGGCTCTTTGGCTGACACATAGTGTCACCTTAAATGAGCAATGTTATACAAACCGATGAGAGCAGAGTGGTAAAACAGTAGGAGAAATGGGGTCGTCAGAGCAGAGTCTCAGGAGTGTGAGTAGAAGTGCAGGGAGCAGTTCTACCTCTCAGCCTAGGGGGAGAGAGGGTTGGCAGGCTGGTGGTATCCACATGAAGCCCAGGCTTTCCTTGAGCCCCTGCCAACTCTTGCTCTCTGCCCATCATCCATCACCAGCAACTGGGACCCTTCCAAGCAGATATACTTTTAAAAATATCCACTGGTTCACCAGGTCTTTGGGATGCAGTTCAAGTCCTTGGTGAGGCACACAATGTCTTCCATGAGCCCACCTCACCCTCTTCCCTAATCTCATCTCCTGTGCTTCCCCCTGCTATGCCAGTTAGGAAAAATTGTGGCAGACTTTGTAATGGGCAAAAAAAGACTACTGGGTGTCCTTTCACTGGAATGCTGGGCATTTGTCTAGCACATCCCTTCAGGGCATCTGATTCTATAGAAGACTGCACCTTTCATTGTCTCGAACTGAGCTATTTTACAACCATATAAGTTGCAGAAATCAGATCCTAATACAAAGGATTCTTGTTCCTAGAGATACACAAGAATTGTCTCTGCTGGAGATGTAACCGATTCCCTGCCCCCTGTGGAAGGGGCCACTTTTACACCTATTAGCAAATTCATTTTAGCATTCCTGATTGCCTGTATATGTTGCCTGCTCTTTGGATTCTCTTTCGAGTTGGTTTTTGCATCTTATGATGCCCTCATTAATTAATGAGTTGAATAAAACCTTTGACATGTATTCATTATATATCTCCATCAGAGTCATGATGTTACTCTTTAAAAACATTATCCCTACTATGTCCTAAAGATGCAGCCGTGCCAAGTATCTCCAGGTTTTTCAAAACAGTCTTTCTTTTTCACTTTTGCCCTTGCTTCTGCTTCTATCAAGAACCCTGGTGGGGCACGGTGGTTCGCGCCTGTAATCCAGCACTTTGGGAGGCCGAGACAGGAGGATCACGAGGTCAGGAGTTCGAGACCAGCCTGACCAACATGGTGAAACCTTGTCTCTACTAAAAATATAAAAATTAGCCGGGTGTGGTGGTGCACACCTGTAATCCCAAATACTAAGGAGGCTGAGGCAGGAGAATCACTTGAACCTGGGAGGCAGAGGTTGCAGTGAGCTGAGATTGCACCACTGCACTGCAGCCTGGGCAACAGAGCGAGACTCCATCTCAAAAAAAAAAAACACAAAAAACCCAAACTGCTTTTTTCTACTTTTAATACTCAGCTCAAATATCACCCTCTCTGAGTAGCTCTTTTCCTGTTCCTGCGCAGAGTTAATAATTGCCCACAGAGCAGCTCATTCGCTGTAAATGCTGGCATGAGTCCCATTGTATACAAATTATTTTTATATTAATAGGTCTGTTTCCACCATTGGACTTCAGTCTCTGCTATAACATGGACTATGTCCTATTCACCTTTGGCTCGCCTATACCTAGCACAACACCTGGCAAAGTGGCACTCCATCTATACATGTGGGAACGAATGCTGAAGTAGCATCCAAAAGGGTGACTCTTCGGTGTTCATGGAGTTGAGATTTGGGCTCCTTATTTGCACTTAGTATTGTCACCAACTCCCAGGTCAGAATGACTAGAAGATATGTGTGGAGGATTTTAAAAATTAGGCTTCTTATGCATATTGCCAAACCTTACTTATCCTACCCCTACTTAAATATAGAAGGCTCTGGCAAGAAGGAAGTGTAAGCCAAGTTGGAATATAAACCTGGTAACCAGAACCCTCCTTGTGATGCCCCTTTGTGAACTGAAGCACTGCTGCAAGCCCTCAGACCTTTCAGATGCTGGAATGAAGGTGCCAGCCAATTGCCATGCATTTTTTTTTTTTTTTTGAAACAGAGTTTTGTTCTTGTCATCCAGGCTGGAGTGCAATGGCATCATCTTGGCTCACTGCAACCTCCGCCTCCCGGGTTAAAGTGATTCTCCTGCCTCAGCCTCCTGAGTAGCTGGGACTACAGGGGTGCATCACCTTGCCTGGACAATTTTTATACTTTTAGTAGAGACGGGGTTTCACCATATTGGCCAGGCTGGTCTCAAACTCCTGACCTCAGGTGATCTGCCTGCCTCAGCCTCCCAAAGTGCTGGGATTACAGGCATGAGCCACTGTGCCTGGTCGCCGTGCATTTTTATTAGAGTGGAGGTAAAACACTGTGGACAGCTCTGGGCACCCAGTTTAATTTAGTGGGTGGTGGCGGCTTCTCTTTCACCACCTCTCATCAGAGCTCTAGGATTGGTAAATGCTTTTGGCAGGAGGGAGGACAGAATGAACCAAAGATCTAATCTCCCTTGGGAGGCTCTTTGGATACAAACACCTCAGGGCCACTCCCTACTGGACAAATAGGACTACAGGTCTTTCCATCAAGTCCCACCCTAACTTCTAGTAAAGGCAACAGGTGCCGTGGGATTTGGGGCCAGATCTCCTGGGTATAATTCCGGGTCTGCCATTTCCTCACTGTGTGTTCTTGGACAAATAACGTAAGTTCTCTGAGCCTCAGTTTCCTCATCTGCAGTAACAATAGTACCAAGCTCAAAGGTTGGCACTCAAAACCTGTGAGGATTAAATGAGTTCATTGAGATAGTGTCTTGCACAATGCCTAGCACATAGTAAATAGCCAGTAAATGTTCATTCATTCAATAAACATTCATCCTCATTATATTATTACGATTATTCTCCTTCAGGGCCTGCCTCGCCTTACCTGGGGAAGAGATTGATCATTACCTCATTCTCTGCCACTGTGTTTTCTTTTCTATCATCAGCTCCTTCTTGGTCTCTATCAGGTCTCTTGGTTTTATTTTTCTCATTCTGCTTGGACTTGGCGCCCTCAGGGGCCCTAGTGACCTTTGGCCCCAGCCCATCTTCCTTGCCTGAGTCATCGGGATGGGGGTGTCTGCTTTCCCGCAGCCTGGCCTCATCCTTCCTCCTGGACCTCCCAGGGCCATCCTGCTGCTGCTTCAGATACTTGTCCAACTTGACTTTGGGCTCTTTCCGGTAGTAGCCATCTTCGCGGCTTTTGTAGCTGGACACAGAATGGGGCGGGTTGGGAGATCCAGACCTCAGGTACTTCTCTCGGTGGGACCTCCCTCCTTCCGGTCGCTCGTCCAACTCAGCCTTGTCCAGTTGCCGGGGGTGGTGTTTGCGATCATGTGCCCAGGGGTCCATCCTGTCCCTCTTGTCATCCCCGTTCTCCCTCCAGGGAGCCGGGTCTCGTTCTTCCTCCCTCCTGGCATAGGGAGAGTGCTCCCAGGAGTCCCGGCTATTGCCCCAGTCAGCCCGGGAGGGGCCCGGAGGGCTGTGGGAAGAGCTGCAGGAAGTGAAGCTGGGAGTGTGGGACCTCGGGGAGAGTGACCGGCTCACTGGACTACGAGACCGTGGCCTTTCTGGGCCATATCTGTGAGGGAACCAAGGAGCAGGATTTAGAATCTTCACGCCTCCCATCCCACCCCACCCACACACAGATACAATCTCTCTCTTAGATATACTGTGTACGCTCTTAACTCCCAACTCTACACAACCACATAGAGTGGTTCGGGAGAAAGCCTTTTCCTCCCTTCTGGCTTCTGTGCAGGGGACTTCTCCTAAGCACAGTACTGGCCGCTCTCTATCCCTTTACTCATCCTGCTCCTGGGAACTAGGAAGAAGAACTAGGTTGCTTTGGCTCAGCTCCAGCTTGCCTTCTCTTAGAAGGGAGCTATGCTCAGGGAGCGGACCTCTGACTCTCCTCCTGGGGGTGTGCAGGGTGGGCACTGGGGGGCAAGATTGCCCTAGTCCAGCCTAGTGGGTAAGGCTGCCCAACCCTGGGTGCTGTTAGCTGGCCTCTTAGCCAGAAGACTTGAAGCCACTTCTACATTTGGGCTGTATCAGAATAAAGCCAACCTCTTAGCCTCCACTTTTCTCATTTATTTCTCAGCTCAATTTATGCATGGAAAAGGGATGCTAATTATTGGGGAGGGTAGGCTCAGAGGTTAAAAAAAAAAGAATTAGGAAGGTATTTTAGGGTTGGAAGAGACTCTAGAACTCCAACCTACACATTTGAGATGAAGAAACTGAAACCCAGACAAGGACCCCAACCTGCGTAAGGTTCAGAGCAAGACTCCCTAAGCTCCCTCCGCTCTGCTGCAGAATTGCAGGTGGCAGGATGGGATTTTACACGTCTTTTAAAAACCCAAATAATCATAATTTTTTTAAAAAACAGATAAACTAATAAACAAATAAAGATAGCAAGCCTGAACAGTTACATACAAAGATATACACACACATATACACATACACTTTGAAGACTGTTTGGTTATTAAGCAGGTCAACTGAGTCATATATCCGATACTCTAAAAGGATGGGCATTTTTTCATTAAGTTCCCAAATACAGGAAAACCACGCAGCCCTCACTGACCAGGGGACACCGAGGTGCATCTCGCTAGGACCAGGCTGCCTTGACCATCATGGGGGAAACAGCCTGGGCTTGTGTCCTCTACTGGGAAGTGACAGCACCGCCTACGGCCACTGCAGCAAGAATCCCAAGATGTGCCAGCCAGGTGCCTGCTCCTGCAGTTTTCTACCTCGGTTCTCTGCAGGAACTATCTTTGTAGGGGAGTGACAGTGGTCAAATTGTAGCCCCAGCTTGACCTGATCACAAACTTCGGCTGGAAGAAATGGGTTGGAAAACTGAATATATTCAATGTTCAGAGAAAGTGACTGTTCAAATAACTGATTTTTTTAAACCATCTACATTCTACTTCCTACACCTACATTCAACTCATGAAAAACCAAGAGCTGGTTCTAAACAGAAGCCAGTTTAGACTTCTGGACTGGTGTTTTTCATAGGGAACATGGAAAGGTGGGGCCCAGAAAAGCAGATGGATGGGGTAGGGGCAAGAGCAGGGCACAGCATGACTCAAATGCCCCTAAGAATGAGAAACGGGAGTGTGTTCCCACTGCCCAGAACCTGCCTGGAGACTTAGGGCTTGGGGCCTCACCTGTCTGCTTCCCGGAACAGGTCCCTCTCCCTCTGGGAATGGATGTCCTGGATGATGGCAGCCACAGCCTTCCCGGGTTTCTAGCAAAGTCAGAGAGATCACCATCAGATCAGAGATGGCCTTGCAAACACCAGAGGGAAGCAGCTCTGACCTGGGTCATTCACTGCCTGGTCCACCAAAAGGGAAAAAGTGCCTTGTGTGGAGAAGACAAAAGGTATAATCCAATGGATGAGTGTGAGTATAATGCTAAACTGGGTAGGGCCGAGTGGCCCAGAGAACACTGAGTGGTGGTCCATCGAACTGGGGAAGGTAGGAGCCTGGTGTTCACATCCATGTGCTGGAGACAAGCAGCATTTGTTAATACCCACCTCTGCCTGAATTAAAAAAATAAAATAAAATGTGTAAGAAAGAAAAGGAGAGAGGGATGGAAGGAGGGAAGGAAGGAAGGCAAGCATGCATTGTAAACTTGGAGAGACTTGAAGATCATTGACTGCAGCCTCCACCTTTAATATCTATGGAAACTTAGAGCCAGAGAAGTTGAGGCAGGGTCTCTGCTCTTCACAGCTCCAGGGTCACCAGCCACCTTGTGTTCCGTGCAGTTGGTGACTCTTGGAGTTGTGTTGGGTTAAGGAACACTTCAAGGTCACGCAGATAGTGAAAAGAATCAGGACCTGACACCAGGTATTTTAACTCCAAGTTCCTTTCCATGCTTTCCATGCCCTGTGCCCCCTTCAACACCTCATGCACAGGCATCAGCTGATGCTCAAAGTAAATCTGTGAGGAGGGTGGCATAAGCTGGGAGTCGGGCTTCACAGCTGAGAATAGTAGGCAACCAGGGCTCCATCCTTCCCTGAAATCATTAGACGGTGGCTATGCCAGGACAGGACTAACCCCAGCCCCCCATTCCCAACCAAAGCCCTTTCCTAAACCCAGAATGGACACACGATAACCAAAATAAATAAATAATAAACGATTTAAAAAAAAAATTCACAAGCACAAAAGGCAAGTCAGGAGCATCTTCCTAAAGATGATGCAAAATTCATCCTTTAAATAAAAATGTATCAAGCAGAGCGAATTTTATGGAATATGAGTTATATCTCAAAAAAAAAAGCTGATTTTTTAAAGACCAAGGCTAATAACCCTCAGTCTATGTAAACTTTTGATAATGAGTTTTATTAAATTTAATCAACCGCTTTTTATCCTTGATTTTTTCTATGTAATTTGCAAGGAATCATGCATCTTTTTAAAATTTTTTTTTAAAGAAACGAGGTCCTGCTCTGTCACTCAGGCTGGAATGCAGTGGCACAATCACAGCTCACTGAAAGCCTCAACTTTCCAGGCTCAAGTGATTCTCCCACTTCAGCCTCCCAAGCAGTTGGGACTATAGGGGCTCATCACCACATCAGGCTAATTTTTTCAGTTTTTATAAAAGACAAGGTCTAGCTATGTTGCCAGGACTGGTCTTGAACTCCTGGGCTCAAGCAATCCTCCTGCCTTGGCCTCTCAAAGTGCAGGGATTACAGGCATGAACCACCACGCCCAGCTAAATCATGCAATAAGAGCCATACAAATGTTAAAAAGCATCATGTATCTCATTTGACAGATGGGAAACTCAGGTCCAGAGATGTGATCTAGCTGGACTAGCACAGTATGAGTGCTCTAAGTGGCGTGGCTGATTATCTGTTATTGTTGAGATAGAGGGTTGGGCTGGGAAAAACAGAGTAAAGGTGACAATGAAGGAGGAGCTGCCTGCAGTTTCAGGGAGAGAGGTCAGGGCTAGTACACAGAAAAGAGACATAAAATGTTCAAGTGAGGGAGGGACCTCACCTCTTGTCATACGGAGATGCAAAGTGAAAGAATGTCAAAGAGAAGGCAGTGACTCCTTCATCTGTGCTCGTGAATAAGTCAGAGGTTTTAGAAGTCAGCCAATCCCCCATTCAAGAAAAGGCCCAGGAACTCAGCACTGGGCAGGATGTCCACCAGAAAAGGCACCACAACTTTGGCAAATGGTCCCTTATGTCAAACTGAAGCTGCAGAGATCGACCCTTTATAAAGCACCTGAAAGTGCCACCTACAAATAACCAGATCACCCAAGACTCGCACTGGCCTCCAGCACCTCAGCTGCTTAAACTGGACCTTGTTCAGACCAAGGCCAAACAAGGATAGAAGCCAAGGCTGTTGGCATTGGCCAAGAAGAAAGTTGCTGTCCAGGATGTCTCCTCCCACCCCGCCGTGTGGCTAGAGACCACCGGTCCTTCAGCCAGGGTCGGCTGTCACTTGGGGTAGAAGAAGAAGGCTCACTTGAAGCTGATAGAACTTAATGTGGATCCCACCAAGTGGGTCTTCTTCCTGCCTGCCCACCTTGGGCCACACAAGTGACTCCGGCTACTGTATCATCAAGGGAAAGCCAACTGGGATGGCTAGTCCCTGAAAGGACCTGTCACAGCAGGCACCAAGGGAGCAGCGGAGCTTGGGAAAGCTGGTGGGAGCCATCAGGACCAAGATCATGTCATGAGATCTGCCATCACCGGGGAGGCCACACCCCAGGTCCCTCCCAAATCTGTGGTTTGCATTGCCACATTAGAATGGACAAAGGCTAAAGAATGTGTCCCCAAACTGGGATAAATGTATCTGGCAACTCTTTAGAACATAAAAATAAAATTCCCCATGGGAATTGGATGGGGAGCTTTCTGTTGTAAAAAGAGTCCCCAAGGTTCCAGTTTTCTTCTGCTCTTCTGGAACTTCATATTCTCCTGGTTATTCCTTCCAGCTCAGATCCAAGAAAGGCCGACGTGGGAGGAGGATGGTCTTGGCAGGGAGCGGCTGAGGTTTTGCAGATTACCCACGGCAGAGTGACTATGAGGGTGGGGCTCAGGCGCATGGGGGCAGGAGCAGGTCAGGCCAATGTCAGGGCCAGAGGCATTCCACAAGCTCTCGGTCCCTTCTGCACCTTGGTTATCACAGATGGCACCCCCAGGCCCTTCCCCTCAGGGGTGCCCCCAATGAGGGGCAGAACAGGCTGATCAGACACTGCAGATGAAAACATCCTCTAGTGGCCCATGCAGTTTCCCAGGAGTCAAAGAGGTGCAGTTAGAGTGGACTTAGAAGAGCCTCTCCTTGGCTTAAACCTTCCTCTGTCCCTTATTTTCTTAACGACAGAACGTCCTCCTGGGGTCGCTTTCAGCCCATACCTCCTGGAGTTACTTCTATCCGGATCGCAGGTCCCCCGTGAGGGGCCTCCTGCGCTGACAGTCTTCACACAGCCAGCACCAGCACAGAGCCTGGCATGGAGCAGGCGCTGCCTAACACCCATCTCAAGATGCGTGGCTGGAGAGATGGAAGGAGGTGGCTGCAGAGAATGAATACGAATCTGCAAATACTACATGCTGGGGCTAGCGGTCACAGGTATTGTGATCCCTCCCGAGGATCAGAGCATTGGTTCTGCTATTTTAGGTGGTAATTGCAAATTGTTTGGTGCTCTGTGGACCAGCTGTCAGCTGCCATCTGAAAAGGGGACAGAAGTAGCCAAAGATTTTCAAATAAGAGAGTTGACTTCTGAAAGCCCTAAGAAAATTCTCTCAACCTTCCTCTTTGACCAGCTTCTGTATCCTGTGGGTAAAGGCATAAAGAGGGCAGGTGAAACAAAGGTGATTACAGCTTTGTAATCAAAAAATGAAATGGGAGAGAAAAGAGTAGGTCTATGATAAAATTTTGGTTACCTTTTTATTATAGAAAATTTCAAACATACACAAAAGTAGAGAGAATGGTTTTTGAACCCCGAAGAATCTATTACCCATCTTCAGTCAATGATGCTGACCAATCTTGTTGCATCTTGATATGGTTTGGTTCTGTGTTCCCACCCAAATCTCATATTCAATTGTAATCCCAGATGTTGAAGGTGGGGCCTGGTGGGAGGTGATTGGATCATGCGGGTGGTTTTTAATGGTTTAGCACCATCCCCCTAGTACTACTCTCGTGATAGAGTTCTCACAAGATCTGGCTGCTTAAAAGTGTGTAGCACCTCCCTGCTCCCACTCTAACTCCTGCTCTGGCCACAAAAAACATGCCTGCTTCCCCTTTGCCTTCCGCCATGACCGTAAGTTTTCTGAGGCCTCCACAGCCATGTTTCCTGTACAGCCTGAGGAACCATGAGCCAATTCAAGCTCTTTTCTTTATAAATTATCCAGTCTCAGGTAGTTTTTTTTTTTTTTTTTTTTTTGCAACGGAGTCTCACTCTGTGGGCCCAGGCTGGAGTGCAGTGCAACCTCTGCCTTCTGGGTTCAAGCGATTCTCCTGCCTCAGCTTCCTGAGTATCTGAGATTACAGGTACCTGCCACCATACCTGGCTAATTTTTGTATTTTTAGTTTAGGTTTCACCATGTTGGTCAGGCTAGTCTTGAACTCCTGACCTCAAGTGATCCACCCACCTCGGCCTTCCAAAGTGCTGGGATTACAGGCGTGAGCCACCCCGGCCTGGACTCAGGCAGTTCTTTATAGCAGTGTGAGAATGGACTAATATACATCCGTACTCACCACCTTCCTTCCCCACCTCCTATATTATTTTGAAGCAAATGTCAGACATTGTTATCTTTACATCCATTCTGCGATGACAATGATCTCGCTCAACAGTCCCACAAGGGACCATCTACAGTGCTCAGAGTTAACACATCTTGCTGCTTTTAAGACAAGGTTGAGATTCCAAGCCCCATGCAGTTCCAGAAAAGTGCTGGCATATTAAGAGGGAGGCACCACCACTTGGAACCTCAACCCAGGAAGAGTAGCCCCAGCTGTGCCCGCACCTGGCTGGGTCACCCTGGGTCAAGGCTTATTGCCTATGGGAAACTCACTTTCTCTACCTGTAAAGATGGGTTAATGAGGCCCATCTGGCATCCACCAAAAGCCTCAGGGCATGGCAGGCTACACCTGTAAAAGTCACAGAGTGCTTGGCCAACATGAAGGGAACTGCTGGAGAGTTTCATGCCCTCTGACAACTCCACAGCTGTTTCACACACTTCAAGAGTCCTAGGAAGACACTGAAACCTTCTAGATGAGCCCAGAACTCATCTAAGCCAGATCCTGT